TTTTTTTTGATGGGGAAAACAGGCACGTGATGAGTAACAATGTTCCCATTCCATCAGGTGTCCTGCGCCTTTAAGACGCTGCTCAGGGTAAACTAGCGTCGGCCTGTTTGACGCTCAGGAAGTGGATTAAACCACCGAGGATCCCCGTAGATAGCGACTGTCCCAATGCGTGAGAGGGGTCTCTACGCCCACTGAAACCCTTGTTAAAACACCAGGGAAAGATTTATTCAAGAGGATAATGCTGAATGGTTGCGCTCATGAAATTCACCAGAGACATATGCCGGTTGTTGGGACTCGGAAGCGGTAAGTTAACGTCCCTCTGTTGAAAACTTCAACCAACTAGCCACAAGTTTTAAAAACCGACAATAATGATGCAATTGACTAACTCTGGAGGTAAACCGACATGCGAAACACACACTCTGGTTCCTATTTGTTATTGTGTGCCTCTCTTGTCTTTTGTCGAAAGAGTTAAATGGAGTTGAAGCAACAATGAAAAGTTCCCATGTTGCTAGTTCCACCCTTTTCCCTCTACTCGCTACTTCGCCTTTATTTAATCAACAAATCCAAACTTTTACCTAAAGCTGACTCAGAAAACACGTTTTATTCGTTTGGCAGGGTTCTTTTATGTGAATGTGGCTAATAATTGTGAGAATGGTTTGATTTGAAGGCCAAATAGAAACAAACATTCGCTCCCTGTTCGCGTTGGTATGAAAACAATGCTTCAGATATAGATGGAAAAACCTCGCCTGTCTGTTTATTTATATTCGCGACAGGTTGAGTCTGAAGCTCGTTTAAACTATGTCCACCTCCTTTTTTATTTATTTAATTGCAAAATGTTTAGTACACATGATTTAGTATGATAGGGGGACTTTATAAACCAGAAATAAGTCAACATTTCTCCAAAGAACAGATGTTTTTAATTATGGGATCAGATTTCAGGCTTTTCTGCACATCTGCAAATGTTTTTTGAGTTGAAATAGTATCTATTGTTACAATTTTCTTTGTTTTTACTTATTTTTTCAAACCCCACCCGAAAGAACAGTCATGCATTTTTAGCTTCACATTGTTACAAGAAGAATGCAGCTAATATACACCTGTTTAAGTCACAGGAAAACACTGACTTTCTTTTTCTTTTTTTCTTAAGACAGCCTTGCAATGCTTTTTTTTCTGTCCAGCCCACCAGTTCCCGATGATGCACTGTTATTTTGCATTCCTGTGGAAAGAGCTCACCTTTCAACTGCACTCTGATTGGGGAAGTTTCTCTGAACAGAAGAAACAGAGGATCTTTTGTTGCCTTTGTCCACCAATTTTGTATCATTTAAGTGTCAGAGGGGAATCCGCCCAGGTTATTTGTGAACTGAGAGATTCTGCAACTTTTAAACCATTTGTTTTGGAAGAGTAAGACTATGTGATTAGCTGGCTTTATTTCCTTATGCTGACTACACTGTTTGTTTCAGCTGGATTCCATACCTAAGGACATAAAAACTAGTAGATGAAGAGAGTTCCAGGTACCTTCAGCAGGCTTTATGACGATTCCTATTGCTTTCTGCATTGTTGACCAGAGCTACTGCACCCAGGAGAGTACACATAAACATTGAGAGAACGAGGAAGCCCAGAGGCTCCCCTGTCTTTTTTGTTTCTTCCCCAAGAAGGAATAGAGTATAAACTAAGCAGGAATTTGAAAGGCAAAACTATCCATCATCACGTTGAGTCACAGCATGACTCACAGACCACGTATGGATTTGTCATTCTCCGCAAAACTTCGCTGAACCAATGGAAATCTGACACTGCAAAGTTTCCTCCAAGGTCATTTTATTTTGCTTCGAATTTGTCTTGTGATTTGTTGTCATCTACTCTAAGAGAAACGGCAGAGCGGTGCCTCCTTCTGCTCTGTGCCCAAACAATACACTACATATAAAAACGCAGTGCCTGTTCTGTAGGTCATACGGCAGTCCTCAACGGGACTTTTTGTGGTATGTGATGGCTAAAGTGTTCCTCTCGCTTAAAGCCAAAGAGAAACCTCTGAGCAATTTCTAGCCTGTTGTTAGGCATTCCTGACGCTCAGAAAGCATGAAGAATAGCAATTCCCCTTGTCTACATCTAAAGTTATTTGCAAATTTCTGCTTTAATAAAATGTGAAAAACCTTAATCTTACAGAGAAACATATTTAGTTGACATCCAGAGGACACAGCATTTAAAATGAGATCTACCCAGGTCCTGACAGAGCTCTACATAGTTCAACATAGAATTTTTATGTTTAATATGACAAAAAAATTGGAAACGCATGACTTTCTTGAGCTGTATTTTTTGCTGTTAAAATGTGACGAAAATGAGTGGGACTAAAGTCAGATGATGCAGGAATGCTGCATTGTTGGCTGTGGGTGTAGGTCAGGGGTTGGCAAAATCAACCCTCGAGTGACACTGTCCTGCAGTACATGACATGTTTAATCTGTTAATCTGCCACATCTTGCAGAGTCACCTTTAATAACAAATGTGATGTATTAAGCATTATAAATGTCAAAGTTAAAACATTTTAATGCTTACACTCACTAAAGATTACCTGAATATAAAATGTAAAAGCATTTTTTATTTTTTTATTTAGGCTTTAGCAACATGAAACAATGCAATAAGCCAAAGAATATCCTTTAGAAAAAATCCAAAGTAAAAGACATTAAGTGGGTGAGACAATTTTTGGGATGATCTTGATCAATATCTTGACCCTGGAGCTGGATGGAGGGACATCGGGGACAAAATCCAACTAATGGTTATTTTGATAATACGTGTATGTGCTGAGTATTTCTTAGATTAACAGAATAGTCGTCTTTTTGTTTTGTTTGTTTTTTTGGTAGTGCTAAATCTGAATACGGTTAGATGTAACAGAATAGAAAATCAATTTATTGTCCCACAATGGGGAAATTCTGGTGTTTACAGCACCAGAAACATTAAAGAAAAAATGGTCACACAAATATGGACCTTAGAAAATGTGTAAGAATAACATAATAGTGAAGAGTTAAAAGATAAAAATAAAATACTGTACTGTAAAGTGTTCTGCAAAAGATGAATATTTTACTTCAATTAATTATCGCATAGCAATAATAAAAAAAAATAAAAATAATAAAATAAATAAATAAATATATATATGTGTGTATATATATAAACAAACAGTTCTCCATCTCTAGAAGTACATTTAAAATTGCTATTCAATATACCATAATGCATGGTTCTACAAAGAAATCCCATTAAGTGATTAAATATCCATTTTTAAATCACAAAATTAAAGTCACCATTTCACTATTTATTTATAAATGAATACAAAGTGAAGCAATCATATTTATTTTAGGTGATTCCCAGTCTATGGCATTGTTATTTTGGGCTTGCACGCTGCGATGTTTAGAGACCCACAACCAAAAAAAACTCCATTCTCCCTGGCTTTTTCTCTGGCATCACATCAAAGACGGTTAACCTAAAGAATAAAAAAAAAAACAACCTTGTATACCTTGATACAGGTTAGCAGCCCATGCGTGTAGTAGATCAACATATGCCTCATGAGTGTGTTTTGAGTAACTTCCACCCCATTAGAGGCTTATGGACAAATCAAAGCATTATATGTAATGCACTTAAAATCACTTCATGTAACCTTTATTTTACCAGGGCTTATACCCATTTAGATTCAGAATGGCCTAAAAGCAGCACATTGGTTCCACATGAACAACATAGATTAAAGCAAAAACATATATTTAAAGGGACATAGTCATGTTATGCCTATTCAAAAACAATTTGATCTTAATAAAATAGGTTTATATACACAAAGTGTCCATCTGGATACTGCGTTGATATTTCTTTTTGAGCCTAAATAGAATTTCAGCACGGGGCATGGTATGCTGACATAAACCTATGTGGCGCCGTCTGTCAGCATTGCTGCTTAACTATCAGAAGGCCAGGCGTTGACAACAGAGGCAGGTACCTAATAGAGCCCATCCATCCTGTAATACCACTCAGTAAAACCATAGCTTGGTCTCTTCTTATCATTACTGGTACTAAAATCTATAGCACTAAGATGAGGTTTACTTGCTCAACTATCAACTCTGCAGCTTTAGTTTCCTCTTTGTGAACACAAACATTCATTCTGTAATAAAAACCCCATTTAAGTCTTATCCCACTTGGAAAAAAAAATATGTTGTTTTTATTTTCTCACGCTTTATCTCGGACTTTTCCACTGGGAGGACCTAACAGGCTTGGTCATAGGACATCCTTGTTTACCCCCCTGCAAACATGCAGTATTGTACTGCCGTTGTTGTTTTAAAATACACACAGAAGGCTATGTTTGCTAAGAAACTGAGATAAAACCTAAAAATACAAAAGTATTAAATAATGGATGCCATAAAATTAAAAAAACAAAAACAACAAATAAAACAAAACCTTGTATGCAACCAGAGTGAGCTACTAGTTTGTAATAATAATAATAATGATAAAAAATTAGTATACACCGTCAGTGTGCTGCTTTGATCATTTAAAGCTTAAACCTTAAACAGTATTTTCTGTTCCCTAACAGGCCCTGCTGTGCAGCAGCAGGAAGAGCCGATGGACTGTGTTGCTGCAACCTCTGACCCATGTCATGATGCCACTTTATCACAGGTACTGTGTCATCCTGACCAAACCTGCTTTGACTTCAAAAGTTAGTCTCTGGTGTGTGGATCTAATCTACCATCTGTGTGTTTGCCCAGAATGCATTAAATGAAGAGGATCTGAGCGAGGAGGAAAAGGTCAGACGGAAAGCAGAGCGACGGCGAGCCAAGAGGAAGGTGAGCTCTAAATGATATCAATCACCAGTTTGTTTTAATCCATATGAGTGGTGCCCTGTATTATTCTGTATTTTTTTGTTTTAGCGCCGCCGAAAAAAAAAAAAGCAAGAGCAGATCAAGCAAAATGATGGCGCTGAACAGGTAGCGTTTCCATCATAAAAATGTTCTACATTTCCCCTTTGCTGTTAGAAGCTAATTGTCCATGTGCTGTCACATATTAGGACGATGAAGAGGATGGCGGCGCAGAGTCTGAGCTGGATGAAAGCGAATCAGAAGCAGATGTTGCTGAAGAGGAGAAACAAAGGGCAACAAAGGAGGAGAACAAGGAAACAAAATCAGCTGTTCCTGACAAGCATGTTAGCTCTCTGGTTATGGCTCCCACAGGACTCAAAGGGCAGCAGAAGACAAAAGCCAAGTCAACTGAAGAGGTACTGCGTAATTATAAGTGTATTACATATTCTCTGTCTAATGCTCTTATTGTTCTCATGAACCCACAAGACTTGGAATATAAATTGTCTTGTGTAGCCTGGTTCTTTTTTTTTTTTTTTATTTAGCCAGATGGCATGAGTGGCATATGATCTATAACAGTGTTTGTTCTTATTGTGCTCTACAGGAGCCAGAATGGGATGTGAGCAGTGCCTTCTTTGCTAATGCTGCTAGCCATATCAAGCCCAAAGGATCAAGTCGCAAATCCAAAGAAAACAAAGAGAATGAGGCCAGAAAAGAGGTGAATGAAACGATCAATGTTGCACACACAAAAAAAAATGATCTGTTTACTTATCAATTAAATGGCTGAATGGTACAAAGTCTTATTTAAGCGAAGAACTGGACTCTGGACCATGACAACCATTTAATGCATCTGTGCATGCGTGTCTATTGCCGTGCATGCAACACATTGAAAGGGTTATTCTGTTTACAGACAAATGGAACTGACAATATGACCAAGAAAAGTGCATCACTGACGGGTAGGGAAGGATTTTTCAGCACCTTGCAACAAGCAGTCTTTAAATTGATTTTTCATTTAAACTTTTAACAATGGCTTTTAGAATATTATTGATTTACACTTTCTTTCTCTCGGGATATTTCACCTATGATGCATTGGTCAAGCCTTTAGGCTAGTGTTTCAACTGAAAGTTATTTAAAGTTTGTTTTGTTTTGTATGTCTTTCAGAAAAAGGTATTAAGCTGGTGCAGGAAGGGCAGTATGCACAAGCAGTCTGCATGTTTACAGAAGCCATAAAGTGTGATCCCAAGGACTACAGGTACATATGCTGTCTGCAAAATAAGTGACTGTGTCTTGCAAAAGTATTCATAAAGAACTGTTGTATTTTGTTTTTGTTTGTCAAAACCACAGTGTCTTTTTTTCAGAATTAAAACGGAAGAAATGTGGAGCTAATTTGCATTAATGACAAAGCATAATGCCCCTGCCAATTCATTCTATTTTTGTTTTTAACTGTCGTTATGTTGCAAGGGTTTGGCAATAGTTTTCCACTCCAGATGGTATGTTTTGTTCAGACTAAAAAGTATAATTTTTGTCTCGAACCAGAAAACCTTGTTGCTCATGGCTGCTGTGTCCATGACCTATGGGCAGAGGTGGATAATTCAGGTCCAGAAATTAAAAGGCCTGTTCAGGGATTACCTCCAACCAATTGCATTTCTGGGTTTACAGCGCAGTCTGAGTGGCTTATCACTTGATTAAGTAAACAGGATAAAGAAAAACTAGGCAGGGATGGGTGTCATGTTGAAGTTCTGCCACTTGATAACCCCTTGATAACTGTAGAGATTCATGACCATGGGCCTATTGGCCACTCTTCTTCATTTCTCTGTCGCTTTACAGACAGACCATGTGTTAAGCAGCGTTCATGGATTGAGATACTGTTCTATAATCTGGCTTTTTTCTCCACAACTATACACCTTTCTATTGTTATATATATATATATATATATATATATATAGCCTTCACAGAACAGTTGGGTTTACTTTGACTTGCACACAAGGAGAAATTCATACTTTTATTTAATTTTTTTCCTCAGGCCACTGGATGCTCAGCTTGTTAAGGGTACTGCATTGATAACATAATTCAGATGTTTATTAAATGGAAAACTATATTTTATTTCCCTTAGGAATTCTAATAATGCAGCACTTTGTGTCTCTATAACTGATAGTGTCTCAATGAAATGGACCTTAAACATAAAAAATTATGGCTTTAAAATCTGGTCTTCAATTTTTTTTCCTACCAAATTTGATTTATTTTTTCCTACCTTAGGTGACCTTGATTTAAATTGCAGCAGAATTCAAGCTGTGAAAATGCTGGTAATGCAGAATTTCACAGCAAACAAATAAAAAAAAACTAAATGTTTGCAACTAGTGGTGTTACAGCCAGCTAGTTTATCAGCTATCGGTACACATCTTAGAACAAAGTGATGCACTGATGTCACCTTGATCTATGGAAGTGCATTGGTAGGAAAAGAAATTGATTTTTCAATGAATCACTCGGCCCTACTTCAAACTAGAAGTCCTTTTATTAAGGTTAATTTTATACAGCCTTTTGTCATATATTTAAATCCTAACTCTGCAGATTCTTTGGAAACCGCTCGTATTGCTATTACTGCTTGGAGCAATATCCTCAGGCGCTGGGAGATGCAGAACGCTCCATCGAGCTGGCTCCAGAGTGGGCCAAAGGATACTTTCGCAAAGGCAGAGCTCTCATTGGTATGAAGGTGGGCACAAAGCATTCTTGCTATGCATATTTAAATACAATAAGGAATATTTCTGCTAAATGTTAGCATCTGTAAGGCTGTGTTGTACAGTATGCAAATTGTTTGTCTGCTTGCGCGGTAGCGGTACAGCGAGGCTGAGAAGGCCATGGAGCAGGTGTTGAAACTTGACAAAGACTGTGAGGAGGCAGTCAATGACCTCTTTAGCTGCAAAGTCCTTCAACTAATGGTAAAAAACTTTTTTTTTTTTTTTTTTTAACCAGATCCAACTACTTCTGGACATTTTGACTCTTTTATTCTTATATTTTCTTCTTAGGAGTTTGGATTTGAAGAGATGCAAAGTGTGTCATTGCTGGAGAGATTTTCATCTGTGCAGGCTGTTCTGGCATCTTGTTCAGAGTCAGCAAGAGGTAAAAAAAAAAAAAAAATTCCAGTGCTTTGTATAATCCAAAACTGGTCAGAACTGTTCTATTCTATACTGTTCTACACCTAAAGCTCTGATAATAGTATTGGAAATGAAAAATTAGTATCAGGACATCCCTATCATTTTTCCTTTTTTTAATGTATAGAATTATACATGTGTTGTGTTTTATGCTACATTTCCTTATTTTTTTTTTTTGTAAAAATGTGGTTGTGTTTCCACAGCTGGAGGCCAAGATGCATCAATTGTGCAGCCAGGGTAGGTGAACATGTGTTCACTCAAACTACAGGGTCACATAACATGATTTTCACTTTTCATTTTCAGCATGTGTTTAATCATATTGTCTTTTATTTTATTGTAGAAGCCCTTGCCCATCTCTTTGGGTAGGAAATGTGACAACAGAGATAACCGAGAAACACTTATGGGACCTTTTTAAAATGTATGATTTTACTGTGGTATGCTATTCAATACTTATTTCTGGGTTAAAATTAGCCTTTGTTAACAAAACTGTTGTGCAGAAGCTTATGAGGGTGATATTTTACCCAAAGTGGGTAACCAGATGTCTCTTATTTTCATTGCAGGTATGGCGATATAGAGAGTATCCGTGTGCTGCATGAGAGATTTTGTGCCTTTGTCAATTTTAGGAATGCAAACATGGCAGCCCGAGCAATGGAAAAGCTAAATGTCAGTGATTGATTTTTACTTAATTCTTTTGTTTTATTGCCTCTCTTGATCCAGATTTTTTTTTTGTGGTTTAATCTTGGTCCATATTTTTGCTTTATTAGGGGTATTGCATTGAGAACACGCGTTTAGTTGTTAGGTATCCTGACCGCCGCACTCAGAGGGTCCTTCCTATTCCACTTAGGACTTTTCTTCCCATCACACAGCAGGCTGGGACAGCACCTGGGTAAGTAACAGGTTTAAAATTCTTACTTTTTCCCCTTAAGCCTTGTGAATGTTTTCATATCCCTTTAACTGTTCTGCATTTTAACCAAACCACTAGTGTATAATGAAGTGAAATGGAAAATTGTTGTTGGTTTTCAATAGTTTGTTATAAGCATAAATCTGACAGGGGTAGGCATTTTTCTTGTTGCAGCCATTTCAATTTTTAAGAGTCAACCTGGATGAATACAGCTGTTCTGTTGATGCATCAGTGAACAGACCTCCAAAAAGAAAAAGAAAAACACTCATGGATCACGAATTGGAAAAGTTTAAAGCCGGGGAAAAGATGTAAAACTTTAATCCCAGCTTTAAACTTCTTAAAAGGCACCTATTTAATCCATCCCAAAATCAAGAATATGCATAAAACTTAGCAAAACCTGGCCAGCCATGTGAAGGTACCAGCTGAGCAAGGAGAGGACTAATCAGAGGCTGAGAAAGATTGGGAAAACAAATATTAAATTGAGTTCACCATCTGTAAAGCATAGTTCTGGCTGGTGTACCTGTCTAGCCCTCAGAGTGAGGACCATTCGTCCAATTTTACCAGCAAATTGAGGACCAGTTGTTGCAGAGTGAGGACATTTTATTGGTCCTCACATGCTATTTTGCTAATGGTTAGGTATAGGGCCATGGGGTCAATTTGGTTGGGGTGAGGTATATGCATAAAAATGGTTGAAAATGACCTAAAATTAATGGGAGTCTACACATGGTCTTCACTACATATAGTAGACCAATTGTGGGTGTTTAAGACATCTTAATAATCCTCGATACATTATGCATCTTTGATTTAAATACTTTATAATAAAGCCAGATTTAATGTGTCCAGATTGTATGATTACCATTTACTATTAGACTTTATACAAGATACAGCATTAAGAAGCTTCATCAGTGAGTGCTACCCGCTTAGACAAACACTACTAACAATAGACAAATGCAGCCCTTGTGGTTCAGGAGTTTGGAGCCCTTTTAAATTGTGAACAATCTGACAAAGCCTGAACTGTTTTATAAAGAACAAGCAAATCTGCTATACTTAGATGTGCAAGGCTGGCAGAACACCAATTTGGACTTGCAGCACAAGGAATTTCTGCAAAGTTTTAGCTTGGATGGCTGAGGAGATATGAACAATATGCTTTTTAGTTTTGTGTTATTTTTATGTTGCTCGATCACATGTCACAAAAAAAAAACATATACAGCCCCAGGCCACTCTACGTCTCATCCTTATCTTCTTAAAATCAAAGTAACTGATTTGTCCTCTTGTCTGTTTTTTCCTCTGTTTATTTCAACCTCAGTCCTCGAAGACGTGGTCCAGTTAATGGAGATGAGTGTTACTTTTGGAGAACCACCGGCTGCCATTTTGGGGACAAATGTCGCTACAAACACTTTCCTGACCAGAAAGGCAAGGACAGAAAACCCTGGCAGCCTTGAACTATGTTCAAACTGTGCCTCGGCAGTGGAACCGAGTTGCTCCAAAAATCTGCCCACAAAAGCTTGAACTAACCGCATCGGGATCTCTGGACTAAAAATATTTTGGTAAAAAATTACAGGCAGGCAGAGGAGTTGGGAATAGTTGCACATTAGACATGTAAGACTGAGAGTGCCATGCTGGTTCTGTTACCCAGTGATCTCAATGGATGCCTTTTCTCAAAAGTACAAAATTAACCATGGAGGGATAACGGTCACACTGGCAGCCCTATAGGGACTTACTTTTCTCACTGGAACTTAACACCTGCTCACAGTTCATGGAAGTAAAATTTTTGAGGGGTTAGAAAATCCTAACTCCCCCTTGTATAATACAGGTTTTAAAAATACCTTTTAATGGATGTCATAGACCTCGCAGAATGCTAACCGACCCTCAGTTTGTGAACGCTGCTGCATTTAGGAAATGAGGTGTACTCATTTCCTAAATTTGCCTTTATATCACATAAACATGCAGGTTATATTTGGAGCATAAGTTTGTGCCATTATCAGCAAATAACCAAAGACATTTCAGCACTTCTCCTATGCAACTAAATCATTCAGCCTTTGGTACGATTATATCGTCAACTGGACTGAAAGACAACAAAACAGGCGTAGAGATTGTTGAGTCAGTATGGTTATGCTAAGGCCTGATTATCTTCATAATGCATGTGAGGCATAATGATGTCAAAAATCTCATGTAGCCTGATGAAAACAGTGCCTCTTAAGATGGTAATGCCTCATTTGGTGAGTCTGTCTGAGAAGTGTTCTTTTTTCTGTATTGAAGGTTTGAGGCCTGTTTTGATTTGACTGACTAGATTTCATGACATGAGCTGTGATATGTTTCAGTTCCAGTTGGGTTCATAGTTTTAAAAAAAAGCTAAATCTGTTTATCATAACCAAACTAAGGTATTTAGGTGTGCGTTTAGTAGATTTTATTATTTTTTTGCCCCTCAACTAATCGTTTTGTGACATTTGCTTTAGGTCTATGCAAACAGTGTCAGAGAATCACATCTTCCTCACCCCGGGGATAAATAGACAAACAAAAATCAGTAATATGTATCATTCATTCTTAAACCTTTCGAAAATCAGTGTTCATGACCTTGGGGCCTACATGTCAGTATTTCACTAGGCTGAAGAATCTGATGGCTTTACATAGTTTCAACACTAGCTGGAGAATTACACACTCGCTGGCATGCTTTTTGTCACTTGCTCGGCAACAAGTACAGCTGAAGTCCACACTACATTCACTAGTAAACTATGCACTGCGTAGGAAGAGTATTTATTTTCCTATTTATACATATATGCATATATATTTTTTAACAAGGGATACTTTACAAACTTAAAAAACCCCCCCAGTTTGCTTAGAACCATATCACATGTTGCACTTCTTCTTTCCTTTTATGGTTTTTTGTGGTTAAAACTTGTGACAATGGAATCTGACAAAAAGAACCCCCAGACTGCACTTGTTTTTTAAACATTTGCTGTTTCCTCATTGAATTGATGGTGTTCAGTATTTGAAATGAAATTCTTTAAGGGTATAAAATAATTTTTGGCCCACTAATATTTGATTAAAGCATGTTATACTTAAAATTTTAGTGTTTTGAAACATTTCAATCTGGACTTTTTTTTTTTTTTTTCTTGTTCCAAGTACGTTTATTCCCTCTAAGGAATTATTTTATTTGAAGTTATGTATGTATACATACCACCAAGAGTGCTGAGGTTCTTTTAATCTACCAAAAACTATGTATTTTTTTTCTGTAATGCAAATAAGAGTTTTATATTTAATAAAGATTTTGTCCCATCTGCTAAGTTATTGCTCTTTATGTTTGCATGTGGCCATGTGCTCCACAAGGTGGCAGGGTTGCACTGAAATGTCACATTCTTGAAGATCCCACCACATGCTTTACACACTTTTTTTTTTTTCTATGCATTTTTAATTATGAGAAACCGAAATGTGTATTTAAGTGTCTTCTTCTAACATGCTTGCTGGTATGGGGACAGCACATTTACCCTCTCATCACTAGAAGACACACTTGTGTGGCCGACATGAAGCAATAAGGAGTTGTGCAAAACCGCTCAGACCAAGGAGAGTTGCAGGCAGCCCTGAGAACCTATGGGAAAAGGCAACCAAAGGGGCCACAGATGACATTTTAAATAGAGGAACTGTGGCTTAATGCCAGCGGATGTATGAGAGTGCACAATGCTGCAAGATTTAAAAAGGAGTTTGCCACACTGAACGTGCTCAAGATGTGAATCAGCCATTTTTCTAAGGAAGGTTATGAACATAAATAATTTTTGTGCCAAATTATCTTTTCAGGATTGGTGGATTATGTGTGAATTTGGAGGGCTTTTTGATATTTTTCAAGACTCTTGATTATGTCATTGTTAATAGGTTGTGCTAGTGTTCATGCAAATGATCCCTAAAGTGAAGGCTATCGCCCTGCTTTATGTAACTGTAGAAACAAAGACAGTCTGATACTCTTATCTAATTCAGTACTTGGGGAATGATCTGCTTATAATTTTATGTCAAATGCACATTTTGCATATTTGATGTATTACAATGTTGAAAAATGTTATTTAGAGAAATGAAAGACTAAAAATCTCAGTTTTGCTTCTAGACAGTTAACTCAGGACTATAGGTAGCCCATAAACCATCTCACCTCACCCCACAATGCACCTACTGAAAAAACAACCCAAAATTAACAAATTCATGAGTGAGAAGAGTCTGTAATTTCCCTTGACTACAGAACAGAGAAGCGGCATCTACATTTAGTCTGAAATAAGTCTTTCCTTTGCCAGTCACAGATGAGTGAAATAAAATAAAAAAACAGGCTTGGAATAAAATGAGAAAAAGTGATCATTTCAGTAAGTACTGATTGGAGATGAAGAAAAGAACGTTGTAAAACTGGCTTATAATTAAATGTTCCCAACCTTTTTCCAAAAAGCAGTGGACACAAATTTATATAACCAAGATTTTTATATATATGCTACTATATAAGCTGGGAGCAAGTGTTCCTTTGCATATGTTTCTGACTGTGAGATAAAACAAGCCTTTAAAAAGTATATCTAAGACGTGAAGAATTGAGACCTTCCTAACTGGCTAAACTCTCCTTAATCCCATATATGTTTCACTACTATGTGGGTTCATAAAACACATTGATCCACATCCGGTGTGGTACTAACCAGATAGTAAAGCAGCTCTGATAAGTTAAACTATAATCAACGGAAATAGGATTTACCTTTTCAGCTATCTTGTACATGCAGGTCAGAGGTAGCTGCTTCAGTCCTATTGAGTTGTCCTTGTGCTTTATTCCCAAAAATCAAATCAAATTTTATCAGATCATAAATAGAAGATTTTTATACTAGAGGATCAAGCTTTATGAGCCATTATACTTGGCAGATTATTATGGTGTCCACTCTTTCTGTAGAGGGGGTTCCTAAGAGCTTTTGGCTTGTTGAGACTTGGAGTATGATTCCCATTATTTTTAAGCTTTTAAAGGCAGATCCACAGTGCCTTTCATAAGGTTAAAACTCATTCATTGTTTGACAAGATTGTTCTGATCATCTGGAAATGAAAGAAAGACAACTATAGCTAAACTGAAAGACTAAGCAGGAAGAGCAATAAGCAGAGAGGCAGACAGTCATTCGGTAGAAGAAGCAGAAATCGACAGCTAAGACAGTTGAAATCTATCAATAGTTAAACTAAGACTCTTTAGATTTGTGCTTAATGAAATACTGCTGAGTTGAATGCCAATTTGTTAAGCAACAATAAAAGAAAACCTGCAGAAGTACTTTAAATTGAAAGGAAAATCAGTAACAAGATCTAAGCTGGCATGTGAAGATGCATTCAATCCAATCTGACTTGGCCTATAGAGTATCCTATGTGCACACCTGACAGGCACACGTGATCCAAACAAACTGCACTTGAAACGCAGTCGTTTCCTTATGCTACGTTTACACTGTACGCAATTTCAGCATCAAAAAAGCACCTTTTTTTTTAAATGGATTTCTCCAAATAGCATACCATACTTTATCTGTCGAGTAGAATCCTGGCAACCGATGCATCAGTGGGAAGCCTGACCTGTGTTTTCAGTGTATGCCGTCACGTGAAAGAATCTCCCAAAATCACTCTGGTCTTGTTTCTCTCTTCTGAGACCTTTCTCTTCTTCTCATACACTTTTTGGATGCTTTTTTTCTTCCGAACCTCGGCCATTGTCATAGAACCGTGGTGAGAAAGGCAAGCTTTAATGACTGGCTGAAAACGTGCACAGCACAAGAAAACAAAGCTAACGGGATGAGCACATAGGCCGGCCTTACGAAAACATATGACCAGAATGATTGACAGTTAGGAGGCCCACTTATTTTGATGATCCACCTGTAAAAAGAACTTCCTCCACTATACCTTTAAGCAAGAAAGTCCACCTAAAAACATTGTCTGTGCAGTCAGTTCATCAAGATTATGATCCTACCTTAAAATATAATTTAGCTGTCGGAGACGAGCAGACCCCCACATACCTGCGTTGCGCTTTCACTGGGAATCCCCAGCAACAGTTGCCTCAGGCCGGCCGCCTCTTTCTAGTTTTAACTCTCACAATATTTATACAACATTCCTCCACAAAACATACTGACTAATCTATGCATTTTTTATTGCTTGTCACATAGTATAAAAAAATCCAACCATGTACACTTTTAAAAATCAGCTAAATTGATTCTTTGTTCAGAGAACTCTCCATTCTTCTAAATAAACAAAATCACTAATATAGGACTTTTAACAAACATTAAATGTCTATGCAGGTAATATTTCAAATCAGGTCATAATCCAGTTTTAAAGTATATGAATTCATTAGTGGGATTTTTTTTAATCAATCTTATGAAATTTGCGCACAACCTAACATAATCAACCTCCTACTGCACTCCATGCTTTACAGTGGAAACTTACATTCTTCTACTGCCAGTCAAAAGTCCAAGCATTATGAAAGCCTGAAAAGACGGCAGTGGGGATGAACATGTCATTTGAAAAGGCACTTGTTTATTGTTGGAGAGCATGTATTTATTTCATGCCTCCACAGATTGTGGGTAAGGGCAGAGCTGGCTTGGTTTGTGTAATTAGAGAGGTGGAGAGAGAAAGCTTTCTGCCGCAGAGACCTGCTTTCTCAGATAGTCCTTTGATTTCTCTGGGAGCCCTGAGGAGCACTCTCACTATAGCCCACACCCGACTGAACCGTAGAGCATTTGCTCACAAGCAGGGACACCTGTCTAGTCTCGTTTGTTTAGTCTGATATGTTTAGTCTGTGTCATAAACTAAACTGGATCCATGCCACAGACTGTGATGGTTTAAACCTTAGCATCCGTATTTCCTTGTTCTCTTCTTTCTTCCCTGTCACCCTCAGAGATCCCTCTGATTTGGCTGCACTAATAGGGGGTCTGCTCTTCCTGTTCTGGGTTTAACAGTAAGGGAGGGACCACCACATTGCCACCCAGTGGCACCATCTCCGTGATACCCAAACATGTCTGCTGCAGCTTCAAAGGTTATGCACATGCAGTTTTTTTGATGTGCAATTACTTAACACGCTTCAAGCTGGAAATCTGCATACAGCTAAGTGTTTATAATGGTTGGGCTGTATGTTTAAGTTCTACCTCTCCGGTCCTAATTGCCATTTTTCATGTCTATGAATAAACCAAGCTGCCTTAAAGAGGTGCCCACTGAGGTTTACTTAAAAACAGAAATATAGCTTATCAAAACAACAGCCCGACGCCAACATTCTCCATGCTGCTAAATTTGTCCAAATTCTTTAAAGAAAAAAAAAAAGACTCAATAAGCAAACATGTTTCAAGCTCCCCCAGTGGAAACAGTTCAAAAATCCTTAGGTATGGTCAAAATCTCGAAGTTCAGATAAATCAATCTGGATCTGAAGCGATGACTTAAATCCTTATGCTCCTTATTCAACAATGGGAGGTTATAGAAATCTTGCATACCCCAGGCCCAGGGTGGAAACGCGCATTCTCATCGGTCACGTTCACCATGGCTACGGTGAGGCTGGTCCTATTTTAGAGTTGGTGGTTTGTGGCTGTCCCAACAAGGAAATATCTACCCTGTGGTATAGGGAGCTTCTTTAAGACACTTGGAACTTAGAATTTAAAACTATTCTGGAAGCAGCGGCCTTCCTGTTGGTTTAATTCAAACACGTTGCCCCTGAAGTTGTGCAACACTCTGAGGGTGATGTGTAAAAGATCTGTTAAGCCTATAGGAGGAGAGAGGTGTAAATACGTTACGTGTGAGGGAAAAAAAGCAGTTAGATAATAAAGAAATAACTTACTAATGTAATTATTATGCAAATTCTACACGTTTCTTGAAACTAGCTTTTGGATCGCTGCATTTAAAACATCAGTTATAAACCATTAACTTATTGAGTAGTGCTGCATATATTGTTTCAGTTGAGTGTTAAAATAAATGCTGAAACCAGCTGTTTTGTATAAAGTGTTTTGCACAGCATTCTTGGCACATTTTATTACCAGATAACCCACAAGCCTTAATGTATCTGATCTGGATTTTATATATAAGATCAACAAAAAGTAAATTATTAGTTTGATGGGAAAAATAATGCATATCTGTTTAAATCTTTGATATGAGTAAAAATACTTTGTTTTAACCTGTTTTCCTTTAACACCCTTAAATAAACTTTCAGGTACCAACCTGAGCAGTAATTTGAAATAAACATTTTAAGAAAAGAAAGCTAGTAAAAGTAAAAAGTAATACCAATAAAAGGATGAAGAGTACTGCTTCTATTTTAGCGGTTGTTACCCAAGATCTGCGCATCATGCAGACGGTTTTGTGGCTGCAATCAGCTCCACTGTTTAGTGTGTTAACCATAATTCTCTATATACAGTATGACAGAAAGAGATCTGGAGAAAGAGGAGGGAGGCAGTGAAAGAAGCAGGGAGGGATATATGGAGAAGGAGGGCAGAGGGGTGAGAGACTGAGAGAAGCATTTGGTAGGCACACTTATTCACACAGTCACTTTCCCCTTGCTAGTGACTTTCACCACTGCAACCTTTTGCTGCCTACCAGGTGAGTTAACCTTCATGTTAACCTTCATGGGATTTTATAGCTTAATCTTTTTCCTTAAGTTAATTTTAGTTATGTGGATGTAAGCACATGGTTCTTAATGTGTGAGTGTAACAGGTGCTTTAAAGGATGAATTGTTGATGATTAATAGGGTTCCAAACTCACTTATGTCCTGTTTCTTTAAGAGTACTGAGACTGTTACAGGAAAGTTTAATAAACTTTTATATTATAAACTTAATATTTTATTCCATAGCAGTGGTTAATGGCATCCAAGCTTCCTACTTGAGGTGTGCTTTGCACAATGTTTTACATGTTGACAGTTTTGTTTTTTGTAATCTTTGTTCTAAAATGACATCCACACACATTTTAGAGCTTTTTTGTGGCACTATGTTTTCCTGTGGTCTGACTTGTTTAAAAGTATTTTTCTCTCTCTCTATTTTACCCACTTGTGTTTGTACCGAGACACTTGTTCAGCACCAGGTTAAAACCTGCCTGGTGTATTTCTGTCTGGGTAGTTTGCCTTGGGGAATGTTTATTCACATGAATTGCCTTACAGAAGCGTGGTAAGGTTTTTTTAAATTATATGCCTTCGTTTGACATGAGGGAAAAATGTGCTGATTTGTTATATATGGCTTCCACTGCATCACCGTGAGTCTGCAACAGGAGCAGTAGTGATTAAAGTCACTAACCTGGCAAAAAAAACAAGGCAAAACAAGTCATATCTCACTAACAATCACCAGATAAGAATAATTCCTGACAAAACAATTCTTGATAATAATAATAAAAAAAAAGATTTAAAAAAGAAAAATACTCTAGCAGGGGCCCCTTACACTATTGTGTGCCATTTAAATTCTATTTTTCCCCCCTTAAAGTTAAAATGAATGCTGATTTCTTAATCTAGCTGAATATTATCAGTATTTTATTTATTTTTTAAATGAAAATTAAGATCTAGCTGAGTCGTTTTCTCTCTTTCTACTTCCAGGATTCTTCCTTCTTCCCATAATGACCAACTCCCTCGGTCTGAGCGTCCAGCTCCTCCTGCTGCTGTCCCTAAGCTTCACCGCACGTGCTGAACCTCGCAGGACCACGACCCCTCAACGCAGAACGCCTCGTGCACCGCCCGCTAAGGTGCGCCTGGCAGGCAACTTTGCGCGCGAGGCGCACGAAGGGCGCGTGGAGGTCCTGCACAATGACGCCTGGGGGACCGTCTGTGATGATGAGGTGGACATAAACCTGGCTAACGTGGTGTGCCGAGAACTGGGGTATCGAGGAGCAGTAACATGGGCTCACAGCGCCAAGTATGGAGAAGGAACAGGTGAAGGCACCACTTTAAGTTCAAACCTTTGCTAAGTTGTATAAAGGTTGTCCCTTAGAAGAAACATCTTCTAACTGCACAGAGATTATATGCAAAGTTAAAAAATGTAGGTTTCATATTTGAACATTTCTACTTTTTTATATCAAAATGTTCATTTTGTGTCTTTCATTGTCATCCACCAGCATCTATTTTAATGCTCTATGACATTCTTAGCTTTGTGATTCTAAAAATATATAATTTCAAAATGATTAACATCAAATAAAAAACATTTGTTCATTAAACAAATATATTTAAATGAAATTTAAATCTAAGAAAGGAAACAGCACTATAGAAGACTCAATAAAATAATATATATATATAAAAACTAAACATCTCAGGAAGCATAGAATGAAACTTTAAGAAAAGTTACTTTGAGAAAGAAAAGTTTATTTCATTTAATTATCAGGGATTCAACCTGTAGAAAGGATTTTTGGAAAAGATGGTTCAGTCAATTCTCACTTCCTAAAATTAATTTCATAACTTGCAGATTGTTTAAATCAAACATCTGAACACATGATAACCACTTCCCCCCCTATTGTTAGAAAACTGCTCTAAAATTAGAAATGTTTAAAATGTAGTTGATATTGTGTGTAGTTTATATCTTGATTATTTTTGTGGAAAAATGAATAACAACCCTGCAAGTTCTTATTCTATACCCATAATGTTGGTGTTTAAACAAAAATACACATGTCTGGAATAGTTTTGACAATGGGTACATGGTAGCATTTTAGTTGGGGATTTTTGTACAAATTCTATTTCAAATATCTACAATTTTCATTCTACATTGGAAGGAACTACTTGTTGATATTCTGATCTAAACTCATTATATACACAACTGCAAAAGGGGAGCTATTTATTTGCAATGGGAGTGCCTACATGTTCCTTATTGTTGACTGTGAAGAGGAAGAAATTCTGAAAACCAGAATTACTTATTTTGACGAGAAAGAGTATAAATCCCTTATATCTGATGTAAAGACTTTACTGATAAAAATGATTACCAAAATGTTCTATTATGTTAACTTAAAATGTACAAATATTTTCTTGGTTGCCAGCAGTGGCAAAAATCCTTACTGGACAAGGTTACAGTGTCTTAGCAAACACAGCCACTCAGACTTTAAAAATAACTAAGATTATGAGCAAACAAAGAAAAACTCTGAGATTAAAGTCTACAGCTTGCTAAGGATGAGTGGCAGGCCAGCGGAAAAAAAAAAGTTATGGCTAGAAAAGAAGCATTTAGTTGAGAAAAAAAAATCTCTATTTGCTTGCCAGTGTTTGGAACAGTTGCTGTGGTTTATGTACATTCTTTAGCAGGGCTTTTAAATCCAAATTAAAGAGAAGCTTGAGTGTATTCACGAGGCTGAATCTACATCCTCTGTGCTGCCTTGTAAAATACTGTGTATCCACTGCTAAACACACTGCTAGGGTGCATACCTAAATCAGCCAGCCCGTTAACGTCAAGTGTTAGATGTTAAGGGTGCTGATTTAAGCTGCTGTGTGGGGATGTTTCTCAAAGCCATGCATAGAGCCATCATTTAGAGCCCTAATGAATAACGTTATGATTTTTTCTTTTCTTTTATAAGGTCCTATTTGGATGGATAATGTACGGTGTGATGGCTCAGAGAAGTCTTTGAAGGACTGCAAACACAATGGTTGGGGGGTAAATGACTGTAAACACTCTGAAGACTTAGGGGTTGTGTGCACCCCCGAGCATAGACTGGAGCAATCTGCCAGCAGAAGTCACACTACACCTGTCCGGCCTTTTGGTAACACTGCTTCTCAGTGGGGTGGTATTGTGGCAACACAGAGGCATCCAGGCTACGGATATTATGGAAATGGTCATCTGCAGGAGATCCCAAGGTTCCACAGGCCACACCACTACCAGGTACTGCTTCATCTGGGCTATCTCTCCTCTTTTTCTAAGACAGATGTCAATTTATAGACCAGATTTCCCTTTTTCTGACAGGGTCGCAGCAAAGTGCGGATTGAGGAGGTCCGTCTGCGTCCGATCCTTTCAGCTACAAAGAAGAAGAGAATTATTACAGAGGGTGTGGTGGAAGTGAAGCATGCTGGGAGATGGAGGCAAGTCTGTGACCTAGGTTGGAGTCTCAACAGCAGCCGAGTGGTGTGTGGGATGCTTGGCTTTCCAGAAGCAAGTCAGCATAGTGTCAAAACATACAAGTGAGTATGAGTGCCGCTGTTAGGAAGCTGTTTTCAGAAGAGTAACCTGCTGGGTAACAGAAATTTCTTTATAAATATAAACCTTTCCTGGAGAATAAAAACAGAGCAGCAGCACCCCATTCAGAGCTCCTTTGAGCAAATGACTCGCTTTAGGCTTATCTTTCTTACCCAGCCTCTTCTCCACCGTGTCACCATTTACACCCCCTTATTCAGCCTTAGGATGATGATAAAGGGATCCCTGTCCCCCCTCCATTGCCCTTTCTCTGCACCTCTCGCTTGGCAAATCACCCCTACACACCTCATTGCCTTTCTCTCACATCTTTGTGCTCCCTCCTTCCGATGCTATCTTCTTGCTGAAGCTCTCAGACAAAAAGCAGCACTTTAACTTTTAGATTCCCATACTGAGCTGTGATATCAGTGCTGATTGTGGGGAAACTGGGCCATTAATATCATGCTTGGCTGAGATTACTATTGGAAAGTGAAATCAGGGTTGGTGGAAAAGGACTTGTCGTATTGACAGGGCATCTTCCTCAAGTACAGCTCATCATGTATTTGCTTATACATCTAGCCTCCTCGTATCTTCAGTATGTGTGCAATTCCTATCAACACATATTATTTACGAATGTGGATATGCGAGGAATCTATGTGAAGCAACTTGAAATTAAATTTCTTCTTGTAAAAAAACAACTGTGATGAGTCAGTATTTAGGACTATTGAAGTAGAAAAAGAAATATCACAACAAATCTCAAATATTTGAGGGGGTATTGAATTAGTTTAATGGTGACTTAAAAGGTAATCTTGACCTTATCTGAGTTCATTGATTATAGCATTGACTTCTTAAAGACAGCATTTTAGAAACCGATAAATACAAAGAAAACAAAACACCACACCAAAACTGTTTTTACAGAAGTACACTAAAAGTTGAAAAGTAATCTGTTTTTCACCAATAGAAACATTATATATACTAAATGATGACTAATCACTTTAAGCCTTTATTTTTGTTAATTATGAGGAAGTAATGAAAATACTATTTAAATTAGAACATTACATCAGACCAATAAAAGCATTTTTCATGTAGAAATGTTGGCCTAATGATAGGATATTAATACCTGCTTAAAAGTTGATTTGAAAAGGTATTTTATCTGACCAATAAGACCAATGTTTTATAGGTTTCTGTTAAAACAAGCAGCTACTTAAAGTTAATAGCATTTTCACCAGATCAGACGGGTAAAAACTGAATGTTGAAAGTTGGCTAAAGAACACTGCAATGTTATAAACCAATCACATCCAGTTTTACAGTTATATAGTTTTTATGCACCATACAGAACCAATAAGTTAAATATAAATAAAATTTATACAAACTGAATAGAATTTTTTTAAGATGTTAAAATATAAATTCGATTTATTTTGACACAAGCAGTTTCCAATACAGTGCATTACAGTGTATATACAAATATACAAATGTTCACCCAGTTTAATTTGTTTATACTAAACTATATATCATTTACATGTTTGCAACCAAGATCCTCGTTTCTATTGTATTAACCTTTAAGTGTTCACTTTGTTTGAACTTTGACAAATTTAGCTAAAGAATGAAAAGCATTAAAAAATCATGCTTTAACTTTGTAGATGATATAAACCACAAATATTTATCGACTTATCCTTTTAAGTTGGACCCAATGAGCTTTGCAACTGGAAGGCAGCTCATAGGTGGGCCTATGCTGATTCATGGTTTTGGTTTATTCCTTATATTCCTCGATTTAGCTGTTTTTTCTAACTTTTCTAGCAGCAACATCCAAACAGGTAAAACTGGGAGGAATATGAATTTAGATTCTTGAATAATTAGGAACACCAATGAGCTATAACAAGTTCCTGGTGTTTAGAGAGGAAATCACACAACATCAATGGTCCTATGAAGAAGGTGGAGTTTACCAGCACAACCTGGCTCTGTTCATGGTCTGAATAAGATCATTTATTATTATAGCATGCTTGGAGTTCAGCTGTGAACCATTCTGTGTCTCAATTCAGTTTCCTCTTGTAGTTAAGACTGGACAGCAGAGAGCTGAAGATGAGACACACACGCATCATCCAAGAGATGAGTTGGATGAGTAGATTTGTATTACAGCAACATTAAAGGAGACGTTTGGCACCTTACCAAGGAGCGCTAGATGACAGATGAGAACAGGGTTGCAGTAGCTTGAAGGACACAGAGTTAAGCCTATAGAGAATTTACCGACTTTTTAATTTTTCACCAAAGGTCAAGTAAAGGAGCCTTGATAAAAGGACTTCTTTTGCTTTCTTGGGATTTGACTCAGGCCACAAGAAGTGGATAATAGTTGTTATATCTACACATACAGAGAAAGGTTTGGGCAAACTTATCCCACTATGTTGAATTGTTTTGGGTGTGCTCATTTTAGAGTTGTAGCATAGAAGTGTGCATGAATTGTTATTTCTCTGTCAGCTTGGCCTGCATATAACCCCAGTGTTTTGCTGAGGTATAAGGCTCTACACTGGTCTGAATCATGATTATGTGTTTGCTTCTGAATCTTTACCTGTCTGCAGTCTCTGCAGATGCTTATTTGCTCCTTCTTGATATGTGTTTTCAACTGCAGACTGCTTCTCAGAGTACAATGGCCCCCATGTTTTAGCTGTTTCTCTATTACTCAAATTCATATTGGAAATATTTTTTTTTCAGAACTAAATAGTTTTTCTAAATAGGCCACATTTCATGCTAGAAATTATAAATCCAAATGTGCTGTTTGTTGGAAAAACATGAAGAATTTATGTAAGGCTTTCCTTCAATTTCCAAAGAGATTCTATTTAGCCATGACATCCCCCTGCTCACCCTCCTCTTCCTAACTCAGCCTTTCAGTCCATTCTTCGAAATTCTCGACCCTGCCATGTTTCTCAGCTCTGTGTGTTTTTTGGACGCAACTCTGAAGATGCTGTAATTACAAGTTGGTCAGGACCAAAGCTCTTCTGGGTTTCTACTGAGGGTGAAAAAACACCCCCAATTATAGCCGAGTGTGTGAGAGAGTAAAAGAGAGCTGGCAATGAAAATGGAAGCGAGTAACAAGAGCAGGCGGCAGTAGGGAGATGGATAGAGAGCAAGAGCCTGACGTGCGAGGTTTTCGCTTGCTCCTGTGAAATACGGCCAATTACAACTGAGCTCTGCTGCACTGTCCGCTGTGTCAGCGGCTGTCTGTCTTACTCTGTCACCATAGTGATTTGGGGACTTAACCAGCATTTGTTTAATGACCTTTCAGCTCAAATTTTCTTATAATAAGGGTATCATTTTCAGGCTTTATGGTTACATTTTTTGTGTCCAAATGTGGTTTTCCTGTCTGGTGTCTGTGTGATCCTCCTCAATGACCTCTCTAATTTACTCTCCCATCTTTTAATTATCGCATGCATTCCAGTGGCTATGCTTCAGGCTTGCAACACACTCTGCAAGATTCCTTTCAAGTACAAATGAAGTAGAGAAGTCATATAAAACATCATTTTTGACACATTGTAAAAACAGTAAGATCCATCTTTTTTAAGTAGATGTGTTTAAAAACGTGTACATCTTGAATATGTAATGCTGAAGTTTAAGAATTTACCTTAAAAATAAAAGAACCTTAACCCTTTAAAGCCCGATCCAAGAATAAAACAAAACAGAAAATTACTTTTTTTTGGTTTGAAGTCCTTATTTGGCCTTTTAACAAAATATGTAAAAAGAAAAAATAGAAATACATTTTTGATATTAATAATTTCTTACTATGCGATAAGTCAAGATTATTTTTTGTGTAGTCCTCTGCCCTCTGTTATCAGGTATATCTGATTGTGTACAATAGGATTTTGAGCAAAGTTTTTACCATTAAATTATGCAAAATGTGTCAGACCCAAAACATTCCTGAAACCGTATGTATCAAATATGATACATTTGGCATTACAGGGTTAAAATAGGCTGACTTTGTCTTCTCTACCCTGTAACCCCTCCTGATAGACATTAGTTATTGAAGCAGCCACTATCAGGTCTACAGCTTTAACCAGCTGTATTTACCTACACCAACTCCTGCACAACTCCCACTTGACCCAAACTAATGCAAACCAAGGTAATACAATATAATCTGCTCCATATAGGGCAGTAGAGTAACACGGAGATAAAGATAAAGCTCAAGATCTAAATTTTAAGCATGCATAGGGGAGTTCTCTTTGTTCCCTCCTCAGTGTCTCTATTCTTTACAGGCTCTCTGATGGTTTGGTGGTTGTTTATGTTTAGTTTTGTTTGTCTTAAACATGCTATAGTTTTTTTTTTTTTTTTTTATTGTGTCATATTGCTTTTCATTTCGTCTGATTACATTTATTTACAGCAGGGAAAAAAATGCAAACAATAGGTCCCACGTAGACATTGTTTTCCCTACAAAATACGTTTACCTGCTATTATTTCAGGCAGTCCAAATCTATTCAATTGTGCACAGTCTCCATCTCAAATGTCTGTCATTGTACAAATGCCTGCTTTCTGATGTCTTTCAAACGTGCCAAATATAGCGGTGCTAAATATCCTCCTCCCGGTATTTTACAAGTTTTAGTCATTAGCATTGTGTTCTGCATATTGATGATGACGCAGACAGAAGTGTTTGTGCTTCCTTTCCTCTTACACATATAATTTGATAGGCACTTCGTTTAGTAGATCAGCTTTGCACAGATATTTAGTTTGCATGTTTTTATACATGTAAATCTTTTTACACAGTTTTTAATGCAGCAAACTGATAATAATTTTAGAAATAAATTGGTAATCTGGGTGAAAGTGACTCATCTTATCTAGAATTTCAGGCACCTGGCTGTTATGTATTAATCAACTATTAAGCTTTATTTATCTTTGTTACAACAAGTCCTACAGAGACGTTTTTTAAACAAAGCCCAGACAGTAAGCTGTCTTAGTTCAGTTCATTGACGCTTCAACAAAAACTGAATTCACACAATTTATACTCTTTGTTACAACTATATGCAAATATGTATTAAATTCAAACCACCTGTAGTTTAGTCAAATGAACGACCAGGATGTAACATTTACAGCCTGCTCTCTGAAAAGGAAGAACGGTTAGCTGATTTGTCTGTGGTGAGGTCACAAACAAGTCAGACATGTTTGCCTCATCAGGAGTGTACATACACACTCTGCTCTCTATAAACCACTGTTGTGAAGCCACATGACAGACACATTAGAGTATTTTATAAGACTAATTTAAGACACTGTAAAGGATAAATTCAGAGCTCCAAACAATCACAGTTTGCTTGAGGTTTATCGAACTTCTCTAGGCTAGGTATCCCCAACATTGTTTCAAATTAATTTAAATTAGGTTGATTCAGAAGTCTTAATTTCATTTGGAAATAATCAAAGTTTTGGCCTGCATTATGGTTTTTGTAATTGCATTTGTACTTTAAAGGGACCAAAAAAGAAATGAGGCAACTGGGTATAAAATATCTAGTTGAGTAAATGCATAGCTCAGATGATTGTAGAATAAAGGCTTGCTAAATATGAAACCATCCTAAAATATTTTTTAAAAACACATATTTTTAGGACAGCACATATTTCACGGAAACAGGTTATATGATTCTGGAAAGTGTACATTCATCAATCCATGACTTCATGCAGCTGTCAAACAGGACATTAGGTCATGGACAACGAGCCTCTTGATTCCAACATCCTCAGTTTGTTTTTCAAGGTTTGTGCTTTGACTATTACAGGAGCATGCTGAGTTTCATGTCAGCAATGCAAATATTGACCCACCTTCGCTTTCATTCAGATACACATAGATGTGTCTGTTTCTCCAAAATGGGAGAGCTACTGAAAACAGCATACTGAGTTTTAGTAAACATTTCGTTTAAGTGTTCTTGAAAGATGTGGTAGAAAAATAGTGCATTCATTTTAATACATCATGTTTTCCAGTGAAATCTAGGTTAATTGTTCTTGTTATGGCAGATAAGATATTTGACATTTAAGAAATATAGTGTCCCACATAAAGTATTGGTACAAGCCACATCACGACAGTGGTAGCTTGCCTGTAGCCATGTGTATCGGTTTAATTTAGATCATGTTTTTGTTGTAGAAGGAATATGGCCTTTGCAGTGGTCTGTGGATGACTTGGCCTGGGCCAAGCAGCATGTACTCTTTGTTACATTATGTCTCTGCGGGTTGAACAGAGGGATTTCCTCAATGCCATCCGAACTGAGCCAGCCCAAACATTACTGCTTAGTTCCCTCATGGTAACACAGTTTTTGTTTGTCTATTGTTCTTGGTTCGCTGCAATGGCATGCAACATTTTTGTTTTTTGATTGCATGGGTGGTTTTGAGGGTGACATTACAGTTCAGAATATCTTGGGTGGTTTTTTATTTTTTTTTTTTTTTATCCTTCATACTTGGTATGCATATAATGTTGGCCTCATGTGATATATTGATCCTAATTCTTAGATTCAGTGGGTCCTACACAACTAAGTCCTCATTTCACAGCTTTGTGCTTACGTAATAACTTTTGACTCTACAACAGCCTGTTGCCACAAGTACGTTATGGTAGAAAGAGGACAGAACTGTGATAATATTTAACATAATTTTTGACTTTTTTGGTTTTGTTTCTTTTCAGGAAAATATGGGATAACAAGGTTAAAGATCCTTCAACAAGGTAATTAAAACAACTACATGTTCAAAGATGAATAGCATGGGATACATGGAGTCCTGATTTAGATCTGTTTCAATTAATTTAAATTAAATTAATTAAATTTCGTTTTTTGTTTTGCTAAACTATAACAAGCTCTACTGATGTAAATGTGGACTTTGTTGTTGTTTGCTGGTAAAATTCCATCCATTCAGTAAATGTCTCATCTAAGAGTTAGTTGCTCATATAATTAGTCAGTTAGGGAAAGCCAAGAATAGATATATGCTGTCCCTCCAGCAAGTTCTGGTTCTACTACAGGGTGTTTTCCTGGTGTCTAAAGGACCTCAGAAAAGAAAGACCCTGAAGGCATTATGATCACCTCTTTAATGCTGTGTTCAACCATTGAAAGCTTGATTTATCCATTTGTATATGGGAAGTTGTTCATTATGCAATGATCCATAAATCACTACCATGGAGTGACATTGAAAAAGCAAGCTCCCATTTATGTAAGTTTTGCCTTCTCTGTCTCTTCCTGTTTAATCCTGAAAACTGAGTTTAGCTGAGGCCAATTTGGTTTAGAATCCTTTAGATGTTATTCTGGGCACTTCTGTGTGCTCTCGCTATATATATGGCTACTTCTAGGTAGATTTGCCATTTCCCTTTTTTCTCCATTTTTGCAAAAAGGTTCTTACTGTGATTTGCTTGGGTCTAAAAGCCTTAGAGGTGAGCTGGCACCCTCTTCAAAAATTTGTTGATTTCACTGAATTTAACTAATTTATATTGGTGAGGATATGTTGCCCTTTGAGATTGTGTAGTCTACTTAATCTTGTCGGACAATGCTGATTCTTGAGTCTGTAGGTCTTGTGGTCATTAGGCCAAATCAAGCCCAATAAAACCTACCTGAAATAAATGTGGTTAGTCACAGTTACAAGCACAGGCACTATTTCACCAATAAAGGAACGTTGGTTTGGATACATTCGTCTTGATTTAATTACACCACTGTTGATTATATTCTGTGGTTAAAAGGACCATACTGAATATGATCTGTTGTCATAATAATAAATAAATATTAGCATCGCTAAAAAGTCTTACCAATGGGACATCATCTTGTCCAGAGCTTAAATATATAACACACTATCTTTTTTGTTTCTCCAGGCTAAGCCAAATGGCAAAAAAGAAAGGATTCTGGGTAGAGAAGGTGCACTGTCTGGGCACAGAAAACACTCTATCAGAGTGCCACGCTCAGCTGTCAATCCCCCGAAGTCCAACCCCATGTAAAAAAGGCCAATTTGCAGTGGCCAAGTGCATACCAGGACCTCAGTTTGCTCGCATCTCCTCAGGAAGACCCCAGGCTCCTTATCCAGTGGTGGTAAGATTTAAAATAGTTATATCCATGTTAGAACTATCTGTCTCTGTTTCAGTTTCTGTTCTATAAAGAAAGGAATCTTAATCTAAATGTTCTACCCTGTACAGCCTGTGCGTCTCAAGGCAGGTCCCAGGTTGGGTGAAGGCCGTGTTGAGGTTCTACGAAATGGGAAATGGGGGACAATTGTTGATCACTTGTGGGACAGAACGGCGGCAAGTGTTGTGTGCAGAGAGCTTGGGTTTGGTACCGCCAAGGACGCCCTGCACGGAGCATACATGGGCCAAGGTAAGACAGATACACTCAAAAGACATTTGGAGCTTTTCTGATAAATATATATCTATACCAGGTGTTGTAAGCAGTTTGGTGGTTCAAATATGTTTATTGTGCATCATGGTATTCTAGGGAGAACAAGGAGACTTTTGCTTATCTTTTGCTTATTGCAGACACCGCACCCGTCTGCCCTGACTGATTAGATAATGTCCTGGCATGTGTGTTTGCCTTTTTTTCAAGGTGTGTTACCTTGTGAGCTGCAAATATGTTGATTGCTCTATCTCCAGCTGTGATTATGTGAGTTTTGTGCCAGTGGTACCAGCTGCCCAAACACATGTGCATGAGCACTCACACTCAAACAAAAAGACCATGGTGGTTTATTTTAGTATTTAGCAACTCAACCCAGAGATGAAATCCTGTAAGATCTAAGCTAGCTTTTCATTTACTCACCAATGCTTTTTTTTCCACTCTTCAACTGGAAATGTCCAGCTCCTGTGTCACCCACAGTTACAGCCAGTATCCAGCTGTTTCAGTGGTGTCCCCACCCTTACGATATGTGAGGGAGAACAGCTTCCCCATGTCTCAGGCTACCAGGGTGTAGTCCTAAATTACATTGAAGAGGATGAAATGTGGGATGATGTTTCACTGCTTCAGCATTTTGGATGATCAAAGCCAATTCAATTTTATGCTATTTCTGTAGATGCCATTTCTGCCTCTTTACTTTTTGATTAACCAGATAAAGTCTAATTTACAAATGTTTATTTAATTATTTGTGTTTTTATTTGGAAGTTATTTTCTGTTTAAAGTGTTATGAGCAGTAGTTAACTGTCCTGGCACCTTTATGTTGAATGATAAATTCAAAAACGTATACATTCTCTACATGTTGGTATTCAGCAATTTAGAAGGAAATACCTTAAAGGACCGCAAGTAAAAAACTAAACATCACAACTGAACACGCAAAAATATGATAAAGTCTAAACCTACATATGTGGATGATCTGTATATACCCCATGCACTTTTTCCTCCTTTTGGCACCCTCTTATATATTGAGCTGATGTGACAAGGGAATTTCTCCACTGTGAGATCAATAAAGTATAGCTTAATCTCAATACCTTGAAAATCTTCATCGCAGCACATGTGTCAATGCATTGAGGTATTGCATTGAGAGAAGTTGTCATCGGAAGTTGTTTTCCACTCCAGCTGCAACTGCTGCACTCAGAAGCTGCAATTTCTGCACCCAAGTATAACTGGGTCACTCGATTGTCCATATGATGAATAAAAATAAACTCCATAGTTGTTTAAACATTATACCTTATAAAGGAATGTCAGAGAAAAGGATTCAAATTGTTATCACAACTGTAAACGTGTAAGCCCTCTGAGAGCCAGATGACTGGAACTGTGAGGCAACATGGGAATAAGTATAGCTGTGTCTGTCTGTCTGTCTGTCTGTCTGTCTGTCTGTCATCTCATTAAAATAACTTCAAACAGCGGGTAGTATATTATGCTGGAAAGTTTTTCAGCTTAAAATTGCAACTTAAAGCTGGTTTACTCGCAGTTTATTGTCCCTTGCTTAACTCCAACTATCTTGCAATTATTATTATTAGTTTTTCAAATTGGAAAATCTTTACATGCACATAAAAAAAGGGTTTACGTTATATACCTCTACGAATGGGTCTGCTATCACGGAGGGATGAGGCTAGTGAAGCATACAGCCCCCTCTAATTACATACTTAGTTAAAGATAAAAACGAAGCTCCTTGTTTGCTTTTCATTTGAAAGCTCACATATACAGTACTGTACCCTGCTACTTTAATGTCACAGCTCCTCGTCTATAGCATGTAGCCTATAATGCACAACTGCTGTGATATATAATTTCCATTAACATCAGTTTCCATTACTCACATTGTACCAAATTTAGTTAAGTTTAAAAAAAAAACGAAAACATATTTGGAATATTTGAATGGGAGATTTAAATTATTATTAGAGTTACACAACATTAGGAAACTCGCTACATACATTTGTTTTTGAAATTTAAATATGAATGCTACAAGAGAGCAGGTAATTAATGTGTGATTAACATATTTTATTATCGTTATTCTTAGTGTTCCTAAAACATAGACCCTATAATAAGTTAAGATAAATTGATTCTGACTAATCTCTGGGATTGAAAGTTTTATGATATTGCTAGCTTTCTAAATTTAGCAATATATCCAATATTCAGGCTTTAATAGTTTAAGCGATTTGAAAGTACAGCTGATGGTAGCTGTTCAGAAGCCCAAAGCAAGTATTGAAACACACCTGAGCATGATGAGCTAATTTATGCTTTGGGAAACTTTCAAATTGTATTATGTAGTTTTATTAACATACAAAAAGACAAAAAGACTGGCAAGCATTCACACTTGATAGATCAACAATGACCCTTTTTTAAAAAAGACACTTGAATATATTAACTATTTATTTTTTATTTATTTATTTATTTTACTATAGCACATTTATCACACCTACTAAAATAGAAAATGTTAGCATATAGGCTACCATTTAAACATTTTAAGATTTGAATATGTGGTTACAATCCTGGTGGGCTTTAATCGTCTAAATGTCAGGAGAGGGACAGGCTTATTCAAACGTTTAATTAATCCAATTTACTAAAACTCAGATCTGATCATGTCTGGGGAAAAAAAAATCAAAGACATTGCACAATATTTACAGGAACGCAATTTATAATAAAACATTTTCTTTTTCAAAATATTATTCTCCAGAATATTAAGAATAGTACTTGTTAAAACATGTTCTGCTCTTTGTTTTTTCTAAAGGTTTAAATAATTAAGCCTTTTTCCAGTACATACTCAGTTTAGGATCGTCATCATCATCATCATCATCATCATGAACACTCAATTAAATGACACAAAAATGTCTCTCTTTCCTTTTTAAACCAACTGTGTTATTTGTACTGTGTAATTTTGCCATCGAGGTACACAGAGTGTCCAATGGTTACAAATGAGACCAAGGCACCCTCATGCCTGTTTGTTTGTTTGAATATCAAAGCATGTGTGGCTGGTTTCTGTGGATTTATTTTAGGGTTAGGCTTAAATATATCATGCCACAGTTGATTCTGAGGATCTCTCTCATGAGCCTTTCCCTCAACAAGTTAAACATTGGGAGATTAGATCAAATTTGTGGCAGATAAATGTGGAAGTGGGAAAGATCTGTACTTTTTATACACACGGTGTGAACCAACGCATGATGACCACTCTGCAAGCTAACCTTCAATTTGTTAAAACCATCACACAACCAAATCAAGTTAGGCTGCAATCTAGACTCTGTTATCTCTCTTCACCCCCCTTTTCTTGTGGTTTTTCTCTATCTTGTTGATTGTGTGATTTCTGCTCTGTTTGCTGCCATGCAGGTTCTTCTTTTTCAACCTTTTAAGGAAATAGTAAAGCCGCTGTTTGGTCTGTGTTTTCACATCCTGTAGCCATTTACACCACTGCTTTTGAAAGACCCTTTTCGCCCATCATTGTCTATATTATTAAAAGATTATCTCGATCTTAACACACACCAGTCAGCCTTTTGTAAAGCTGACACACATTTGGCCTTGTTTGCTCACTCAGGGTGGCAGACTACACATAATGTGATTGTTGTTGATGTGCTCAAAGAAAAAGAATGGTGGTAATGAGGTATGACAGATGCCTAAAGTAGATGTTTTTGCTGACATGTTTGGCTTGCAGGACTGTTTTGTCATGACAGATATAAACTTTTCATTGACTGTTTGATGTTAAAGATGTCACCTTTTTTTTCTTACAGCACTGTGTTTGCATTGGATGGCACAAGACACAAAATATATATAGCTGTCGAGTTGTTTTAGTACATTATTCTTACACACATTCTTCTCATTTTTGACATCTCTTCCTTTATTTTCAGGTACAGGACCTATTCATATGAATAATGTACAGTGTATGGGGACAGAGCGCTCTATACTGGACTGCTACTTCCAGGAAGTTCAACCTTGGACATTCAAACACACTCAGGATGCTTCAGTACGCTGTAATGTTCCCAAGACCGGTGCAGAGAAAACGGTATAAAAATTAGATCATTGGTTCTCTTGATGCCAGTCAAGAAGTATGTGTGACCCATTAGATCTTCTAATCTCCTTGTTGTTCAGGTGCGTCTAGCGGGTGGTAGAGCCTCTTCAGAAGGACGTGTAGAAGTTTTGATGGAGGTCGGGGGACGTAAGCGTTGGGGCGCTGTCTGCAGTGAAAACTGGGGGATAAATGAAGCAATGGTGGTGTGCAGACAGCTCGGCCTGGGTTTTGCTGCGAGTGCTCATCAGGTAACATACTCAGCCTGTTACAAGTCCTCTTAAAAGTGCCAGCTTTTCTAAAAGTTTTAAAGGATTCTGCTATGAGAATTACAAAGCAGAACTCCTTCGTACAACAATATATAAACATCTGATCTCTTGGAATTGTCAAAACCTCATGAACATGTTTAGTTATCAAAATGAGACTTACTTTACCTCCTGGAGAATGGACATTTCTAAGTTCTCTAAATAATGAACCATGGCGATCTTCTTCTTGTTGGTTGTTTTAACATGCTATTACTTTGGCAGGAGACTTGGTACTGGTCTGGTAATGCAAACGCAAGTGAAGTGATACTTAGTGGGACTCACTGTGTGGGAACAGAGTTTTCCATCCAGCAATGTCGTCGCAACAACCATGTCCACTGCCCTCGGGGAGGAGGAGCCAAGGCTGCTGGGGTTAGATGCTCAGAGAGTATGTTAAACCTTTTTTTTTTTTTACAAACCTTACGATGTCTCTTCTCTTCTGCTGCCACAATTTCAACATATCTTTCATCTTACATCTTTTAGCTGCTCCAGACCTTGTTGTAGATGCCCAGTTAGTCCAGGAGACAACCTACTTAGAAGATCGACCCCTCCACTTGCTAACTTGTGCTCATGAAGAGAACTGTCTGTCATCATCTGCTGCCAGAATGAACTGGCCTTATGGCCACCGGCGCCTCCTGCGCTTCTCTTCCCGTATTATGAACCTCGGTCGGTCTGACTTTAGACCCAAGGCAACTAAAGAAAGCTGGACATGGCACCAGTGTCACAGGTAGGAGCTCACAGTTAAAGGAATAGTACACCCAAAACATGATTAGCCTTCATTTTCTACTCACCCCCATGCTGAACAACACTCTGGAGTACTTTTTTGATATCTCAAATGCATCTGGAGATCTGGGAGGCTTCTTGCTGTCTGCTGACATTCAAATAATGGAGTTCTATGGTGCCCAAGACAGAAAGGTCCATAAAAGTCAACAAAAAACGTGCCGATATTCCTCCATACTGCTCGTCCAATGTATTCCAAGTGTCCTGAGTGGGTAGCATCCAGAATTTACTCGAAACAAAGTCATTTAGAATGTTTTTAGAGCATAAACAGTAGTGTATAGGATTTCCTGAAAGCGCGCGCCCGCACGTTCACAACGCTACGGACGCCAGCAGATCAACCAGATGGAAGTGCGCATGGGGGTGAGTAGAAAATGAAGGCTAATCATGTTTTGGGTGTACTATTCCTTTAAGAAGTAGGTGGAGGTGACAGTTTATTGGTGAATAATCTTGGAGTGGAACAATCTGCTGCCCTGTTTCTCTAGCAAATGGACTAAAAAAGCCAAATCTGCATCTGTTCTTAAATGATTAATATGAACATTGGGACTGATTAGTTCAGCTTTTTAATATCATCTACTATGTCTAAAACTGCAGTCAGCGGGCCTCGTGCAACATTTTTGCATTCTTGACATAACTTTTACTTACTTTTTTCCTGCAGTTGGCTCTTACGAATCCGCCACATCAGATTTAACAAACATTCTTAGCTTCCGCAAATGATTGTAAATAATCCTCGTAAACCTGATGCAGTCCACCTGTCAATAAGTGAGTTCATGTTCCCAAGAAATGTAATTCAGCATATTTCTTGCAATATTATTACCATATAAGGCTACATATAAGTCGGAAGGCTATGACTTCCCCCGCTCCCAAAAGGAGTTTATTCATAGAAATGGCATTGAAGACAAAGAAAAAAAAACTTAACAGGTTCAAGGATCGAAGATCTGCTGAATGATAACTGAGCAGCAGCATTAAAGGATCAGTAAAAGCCAAGAAGTGGGAAATATATTGCAAGAGTTTTAAGTGTCGCAGTTACACTGTTACAGAAGTAAAAACAATAATAAAAGAAAAATCATTTGATGTAAAAAACATTGTTTTTGGATCAAAACGTATGTAAGTGTAACAGATTATATAAATGAATGAATGAATAAATGAATTCTCCATTAGCCAAGATGACAAAGTTCTGCTAAATCTCCTTTTAATACACACAGACTCCAGATAAAGTCTCTTCATCACAGTTTTCATCTCTCTCATACAATGCATTAACATGCAAATGTTAACAGTGAAACTCTAATTCGAGTTCATTCAGACGGACTTAAACCAAATATTCCTGCGGAGCTGCTATGGAGTGGTCAAATGGAGAGAGTGGATTTCCCCATTGTAGGACAATAAATGGATTTACATTACATTATAGTTTAATTTCACTACTCTATTCACTGGGACACTTTTTTTGGGTTGGTTTTTATACATTTCAGTTCTGGTTATGACAAAGTGTGGGTAATTTCAAATTATATGAAGACTTCCACAAAGAATCACACATTCTCCTGCCTTACCATCAACACTTGTAGTTTCCGCTGTGTAATAGCACAGATTAAGAAAAGAAAAAAATAAATTACAAATTTATACAAAAAATATCATTAACAGACTTCTTGATAAGTATTTCACAAATAGTCTTTTGGGAGAAAATGAAAAAGTTTCCTTTATGCAATGACAACTTCCTCAATGTGTAGTAACTTATATGCACCTTTGATAGAAACTAAACCGGCTGACAGGAAAATGAAGAAATGCTAAAAGCTTGCTGAAATAACCCTAGGTACCATTTATTTGACATTTTACATTGGTTATCTCTTTGAAAGCTAGAAACAGTGTTGTCACCTATCCTAATTTGCTAGCTTGTCTGCGGCAGTGGTAGATGGACAAGAAAACTGCAGGTTAGACAAGGGACAAGCTGTTTTTGGCAAAATCAAGTCTGACTCAGTTTGCTAAGGCACAATGTACTTATGCATGGACGTTTCAAAGCTCTCTTTTGACTTCGAGAGAGTAAATAGCCCAGCCAATCTGACCCTAAAACAAGCCTCTATTAGAGGTGTTCTGGTGACACCCTGTTCATATTCAGGCAGTGAGGTCATAGCCTAAAGCAGCCATAGGAAGCCAGTGTTTGGATATGTAAATACCCTCAGTCAGCAGATTCAGACTTTCACCTGGACTTTCCCCTCTGACATCACAGGCACTACCACAGCATCGAGGTGTTCACCCATTACGACCTGCTGACACTAAATGGCACAAAGGTTGCAGAGGGACACAAAGCCAGCTTCTGTCTGGAGGACACATACTGCCCTGAGGGTAATGTTCATGAAGTCATGTTTCATATTAGAGACAGGAAATATATTTAAATATTTCAGCTTCCAACTACTCACATTTGCACACTGTGGCTAATGTATTAGCTCAGGGGACATGGAGGTTACCTAAATGAATGGCAAACTGGATCCCTTACAGTCTGCTTAACAACCTGGTGAAGCGATTAAAGATACTAAGCTTTTCATTTTGGATTGTCAAAGCACGTGGAGGAAGAAAGATTACATCCAAGAATTTTTCTTTGCATATTTTTATTCTGATTTTAATGAAATAAAGCCACACATTTTAGTTACTCACTGTTTGTCTTACTTTGAAATAACAGACTAGGTTTTAGATTGTTGCTTTTCAGATCATGGACCGAGTCCAGAGCGTTCATTCAAATGGACGCATGTCTAGGTCCAAGCTTTGGAGAGCAGGTTCACAACTAGACTGTGTCCTGTCCCACTAGCATTTTTTAAATATACATCGATTATCTCAGAATGTCTTAAACACTTTAATTTTTTTTAAAATTTTCTGATGACACAGACTTCCTCTATCTTTAGGGTTTAGAATCAGGTCATCGTGAGACCTTACCTGTCCCCTGTGGAATTGTATAGCAATAACTTCCTGGATCTTACTGTGAAACAAGAGCTTCTTATTATTTTTTGATAGAATCAGAGAATGATAGAAGCAAGTGAAATGCACAATGAAAAAGTCGAGGTTGTAGACTCCTCTAAATATCTTGGCACTTTGTTTTATAAGCAGTGAAGAAGTTCACAGTCTTTAAATGCAAATCTGACTGTCAAGAGGGGACAACTGCAAAAGCTTAACTCTCTCAGTGTTTCTAATACAATTTGAACCGTTTTCTTTATCAGTTGGTTTAATGGGTAGTAAAGGACAAAACCACCTTAAAAGGATTGTTAATATTTTCTCCTATTTCTTTTTAATCAGAATTTTTACTTCTTGCTTTCAAGCCATGTTATAAATTGCTCTAGTCCGAATCTAATCTCTATTCTAAGTCCTCTATTCTTCTGCAATCTGCTGTTGAATATGAACAATACCTAATGGTGTGCTTTTCTTTTATAGTTACTTATACTATGCTTTGTTCAACTGATGAATTATTGTGGTTAGTGGATACATTTTTAAAAATACAAGCTGCAAACATGAAATCATTTTCAATAGATAAAGAATATCCTTTATTGTCCAAACTGGTAATGTTGTTAGTGACAAATATGTTGACAAATGTGTTTTGTCACAGGGATGCAGAAGAGGTTCTCCTGTTACAACATGGGTGATCAAGGCATTTCTGTTGGCTGCTGGGACACCTATCGCCATGACATTGACTGTCAGTGGGTTGATGTGACAGATGTACGACCAGGGGACTACATTTTCCAGGTTAGAGGTGTTTTTAAACTCTCCCAATCCATTGTATCTATCTTGGATGGACACTGTAAATCTAACAACTTTGGTAATAGTGCTTTTGCTTCCCCTTTAAAGTAGTCGAACAGAAAAATTAAGTGCACTTTCCTACACCCACAGTTTGAGTATAATGTGTAAAGGCCAGTTTTAGGGTCATGTTGTGTTCTCCTGCTACAAGAGGGTGGAACAGTTTAGATTCTAATGAGGCAAGTTCTGTTAGCAGCCAGCTTCTCATGCATCTATAATGAGGACTATATATTATGGTAGAAAGGGAGTTTTACAGGTTGCTTATTCATAACTTACTGGTTTTTGTTCTTCTAGTCTGTTTAAAACTGCAAAAACACAATTTTTATTTCTACCCATTTTATTTCCTCAAGTCTTTGCAACTAGCAGTCATAAACAGATCAAGCACTCCAACCCCATTATCTCCAGTTTTCATGTCAGAACCCTGAGCTGCTGTGGTATATGGGGTTCTTCAGATCATGACAAGCTGCCAATTATCTCCAAGCTGTGGGAGACATATCACAGTGACACTCGCCATATGAACCCCTTAGTTAATTATTGCTGTCACCCAGTCAGTTAGTGGGTTCATTTGATGATTATTGCCCCTACACAATCAGTGTCTCTTAATTGATGCATATGTATTATTTGGTAGGTTTGTGTATTTTAAACATGTTATGTAGGGTTTGTTTTATAGTAGTTTAGCATAGCGTGAAGAAATATAAAGCAAGCCAAGCAGTGAAGAAGTTAACAGTCTTTAAACTAAAAAAAACCCTCAACCATCTTTAACAACAGGCTTTACAAAGAAAAAAAACAGCTGGCCTGCTCTTGAACCTGCCAGACATGCAACAATTTACCCAAATTAACTATTGGCTTTCTTTAGTAAAGCAGCACCTAGTTCCCCTTTACCATTAGGAACGGCTAATTTGCCACCAGTGAATTCCTCCTGCCCTGTTTTTATTTTTACTGCCTCCTTTCAGCTAAGAGATGCCTTCTGCACGGTACGCTTAGGACCAACGCTGTAATTTGCTCCAAAAAAATGAAGGGACACTTTTTGTTGGTGCATTGCTTTGTTTTCAAAGTTTTCATCCTGTTTTTGGTGTATATTGGCTTCTTTCTACCAGAAGCTGTTTGGAACCTTTACTTAAAGTGGGTGTAGTAGTTTACAGAGCAGCTATTAGAGTTAATAGCTTCACAGTATTATCCCTTGGCAAGATTAGTAGAATGGTTGTATCAGCAGGTTACAGAGCTGCTCTGTAAATGACACGCCATTAGAACATGTATGGTAGCACCCAGAATATGACTGATTTCAGACATATAAACATGCTTACTCACAACTGCTCTTTTGCAACAGACTTGGCTTTTAGGCTGAAACTGTTTTTATTTTTGCAGAGTTATAGTGGTATGAGATGGGGCGCACGTTCCTCTCGTGCAAGAACTTAACCATGCACTATGTTATAATTTCCTTTCCATCAGACCCCTGTAAATGTTGCAGAAAGTCTTCAGTGGCCAGTTTTGTCTGGCAAGATCTAAAGAAGTTGGCACATGGTATAAACATTTTTACAATGACTTTTTCCTGACAGATCCACCAGTGTGTTTCATATTTTCCATGAAACATGTTAAAAGCCAGTGTTCAAATGGTCACACGCTCATATATGGAAATCCTAATTAAAATCCTTTAAGGCATCAGGTCCATGTGAAAGTTCGGCACATTTTATTTATCTTTACAAATTGGAATTCAGCATGGAAAAGTCATCCGTTTGTTTTTGTTTTTTTTTGTTTTTTTTTATAGCTGAGGAACAGATTGGCTATAAAAATAACACCACTCACCAGTGCTGTTTAATAATAGCCCCTCTTACAATTTTACTTGCAGCTACTATTTTCTTAATGTGACTTTCCCAGTAAGGGGGGGAACAGCAAGGGATCAAGTCATTTCTTTACAGGTTGAAATCAACGCCTCTTTTAACATGATTAGGTTTAACACATGCTGGGTTTTTGTGGCTGCTAAGTATTTTTATTCTTGTGAACCTGCTCGGTCTGGAGTCTTCAGCGACCTCAAATCGGTTTTCTTTATGTAGCTCACTTTTAGCTGTCTGATCTGCTGCACCTATATGTAACATCTTGTTCATTTAGATTAATGCTTTTAGTGACTCTAAAGACAACATACATGACAGAGCTCCATGTAACATATTGACCATCAGTGTTTTTGATTTCTTTACTTGTTTTTTTAATGCCACCAGAGACAGAAAGGGTAATAGCAGCATGAAGGATGGCAACAAGTTACAGGCTATCAATGAGAAAATGAATTCCATCTATTGAATATTAAAACAATAATTGTTATTGACTTAATCAAATATAGAGCCAACATAATGATAGAATTTATAAATGTTATATGCAAAATTTGTGAAAATAGCTTTCCCTAGCCCAGAAAAGGCCTCCTTACACTTGTGTGTGTCAGAGATGGTCTGTCTTCTTGGGAGAGATAGTCCAACATCCTGTTTCTATATAGATCAAAATGAACCTTTCATCCTTATCTGCATTTCTAGAGAATGGTTCATTTACTCAATGGCTTTAAATGGACCTCAGCTCTCCAAAAAACAGCTGAAATAATGGCCTAACTGCTGCCCAGACATTGCATGGGCCTGTGCTTCTTTACTAGCAGTGTAAAGTCGAGGGCATCCCTCCTCTAGTCTTTGTCACATTGTTTTTTCACTTGGTTGCAATCCATTTAATTTAAATAGTGTTATTTAAACATAAAAATCTAGTCCAGATTTCAAGTGCCAAGTGAATCTTGATGTTTTGTACTTTTCACATGTTACGAGGTGTGTACCTCACCACTGGTATTGATACTGAAAGAGTTAAACATGAGGAAAAAAAATAATTTACAGAAATATTTCATTATTTTAGTCTAGGAAAGATAGTTGTTGAATAACATCTGACCAAATCTTTACAATTAAAAGTCTTCGGAAAATTTAAACAGAATAAATTGAGCATTTTTGCACATTTTGGTGAAATGAATGTTTTTTGTTGAAAAGGTTAAAAAATTACACATTTAATATGTTTTTTTATCAATTAAAATTCAATTGGCTTTTTTTTCAGGAGCTTTATAAATTAAGTGTTATAATGTTGTGTGGTCTGGTATGGTTTGGTACACCGGCTTGGACCAATTTCCCTTTACCCACTAAAGAAAAATATCCTGCCTCATGATGTTGCCTCAACCATAGTTTACACAATTCCCATCTCTCAAATATCAAACTGGGGTTTAAATATTTTGTGAGCAATGCTCTGCACAAAGTATTGCGGTTGCTGCCAGGTTCTAAGACTCTCAAAAGTTTAAGCGAGATAACCCTTTTGCTGACAGTTTTTCTAAATGCATTACTATAGAATCAAACATTTTTTGTACTTTGGACAAAAAGCTTTATTCTGATCTTCTGACAAAGATTCAGGTCCATTTAAAAGTTCCCCACATTGTATTTATCTTTACAAACTGGAAACCTGCATGGAAAAGTCATCAAGGCCGTCTGTTTATAGCTGAGAAATAGATTGACTATAAAAACAATACAAGTCATGAGAGGTGTTTATTAACAGCCGATCTGTTTTTATGTGAAACTACTGTTTTCTTACAATGACTTTCCCAGTGAAGGAATGCCAGCAATGAATCATGTCAAGCTGTCTGTAGAAGTTAACCCTTTTCTTGACATGCCTAACATATTAAATATGCTTTGTTCTAAACTATTCCATTGCAGCTTTAGTTGTATGTTTAGTATAGCTGTGTTGCTGGAAGTTAAACCCATTTCAAAATTTTAGCTGTTTTGCAACCTGTAGCAGGTTGTCTCTGCGGATGGCCTGTATAGCTCTAGTTAGTCTTTCCAAAGACTTTCGATTTTTCCTGTCTTTTGCAAATACTGTTTTTTATGACTATCACAATGAAAGTAGACCAAGCAAAGAATAATTTCATGCTTTACAGGTGGAAGTTAACCCCTCCTTGGATATGGCTGAGTCTGACTTTATGAACAACGTCATGAGATGTCGATGCAAATATGATGGCCACAGAGCTTATATGTACAGCTGTCATGCAGGTAAAGACTGAAAATTTTCTATTTTTTTCATCCAGTCAGATTTCTAAGTTTTCCCTGATATAATTGTATTTTTGTTTTCTACAGGGGATGCTTACAGCGCAGAGACGGAAGACCTGTTTGAGCACCAAAGACAAATCACCAACAACTTTGTGTAGTTCATTGCAGGGTCCAGAGAAAATGCTTTCTAGTGAAGCACAGAGACTATTTAAAGTAGGCTAAAGTCGAAAGGCCCAGGCATCTCAGGACGGTAGAACCCACAGTTATAATGATACAGTGCCTGCTGGTGTCCTGGTAAATCTGGGTAAAACATTCTTGAATACATGTGACACCAGCAACTATCGCATCAAGTCTTCTACTAACTAGAACATTTATTGGTAGCAGCAGAGGTGAAGTTGTAGCGTTGTCAGCATCCTTTCTTGCTATGTAAAGAAAAAAAGATAAGATATAGATTTCAGCTGTTCAGAATTTAACCAAAGTACAAACAATTAATGCTTAAAACAAACATAGATAAAAAGAAAAGGAAAACTGGTGTCATTCCCAAACTGGATATAAAAACTAGAGGAAAACTATTTACTGTTGGAAAAACAGAGATGAGATTGTGTGGTTTATGTCATAATCCAGTAAGTGTGGTTAATTAACTCGTTTATACACATTTTGCAAAAAAAGTTAAACAAATTTCAGATGTTAGCTTTAGCTTACAAACCTCTTCATTTTAATTTATAGTCGGTTCATTTTGAATATTGGTGCTTTCTTTTCATACACCAACAATACTGTAATATTATGTCACATAAATCTTAAATATGTTTTAGATTTAATATTTTGTACAGCATATTTTCAATACTTCTGTTTAATAGACATACTTTATTTTATAAACTCTACTTTTCTCACAAATTATCTTTTATCAGTTTATAACATATGTTGTGCTTCACCTTTCGAGTATATAACAGGAGGTCATTTGTTTAATAGAAGAAAGCACTTTATCTTTTTAACAAGTATTCAGACAAAGTCCCTTTATTAATTAGCCGCAATGTTTTAAATTTTTGTTTTTATTTAACCTCTTTATCATTTTACATACTGGAAACTCCAAAAGGGGTTGTCATCAGGTTTCTCGTTCATTTTGCTATTGAAACTGTATTTTATTACTTTATTTATTGGGTTCTATACAGCATGACAAGTTATTAGATTTTTATCTAAACGTTACATCTAAAATATTTTCTATTTTTCCAGGTATACTCATCAAGGGTAAAATGTTTATCCTGTAATGTTTCATCCTGTAGATGAATAATTTTAGTTTGTGTTATTTTAGTCATTAAAACAATTGTAACTGTATAGTTTTCCTCTTCCAGCCTCTTGTGGGAGGGAAAACTGGTCTGACAAAACCACAGTATTGTGGTAGACAGGCGGGCTGGGTTTTCAGAACATATAAAAAGCCTTTTAATTACCGCCGCTTGGTTAGACCTAAGGTTACAGTTACGATTGAGGGCTCGGGCTTGTGCTTTATAAAGAAACACCATGGATTTGTTACTTCTACAATCATTGAAAAGACAATAATTTGATTTAGCATTTTTGCTTAAACTACACTATATGTTCTGATTATCTGAGAGACTCAGTGAAAGATGGGAAGTTAAGGAAAGAATAAGAAGTGGATGATATCTGGTAAATGATTTATTCAGATGTTCAGATTTTACTTACCGTAAAAAAAAAAAAAAAAAAAAAACTGCCTTGTTGTTGTCAGCCTCATGGAGACCACAGGCTGGCATTTCCAGCTTCTCAACAAAAACAACATGTTTGGGAGGAAAAATAAACTGTCCAGGCTTTAAAGTAGTAAACAGTGGCCTCTTTTTAACTAAAAGAGGCCCTCAGAAATGTACTGTACTCTCTTTTTTTTTTTGAATAAGTAGTAGCTGTACAGACATTTAAAAAGCTTCATGGGGGTTAGTGTTGCTGACCCAGCCTTTTAATCTGTTTGATTTTTACTTTGGTTTTATGGCTTAACTTGTTCAGATGGTTCAGTGAATGGTTTTTGATGCATTTAATTCTGACTAATTTAATCAATTTAATAACTACAATATACGTCTCATGTCAACCTCATATCTTTTACATTTTCTTGAAGGAGTGTAGCGTTAAAGTCTAGAAATGTTGAATTTAAGGTTTGCTGTTTTTAATGCTTTTGACTTTGACATAAAACCATTTTCTGTTGTTTGTGTTATTTAAAACTATGTGACTCCATAGCATGAGTTGGTTCATCTTCCTCATTTTACTGTATTGCTACCTATGCTCTATGCATAGCACTGGGATATTGTTTTCTATGGCCAGTTTTACTTGCGCCTTTAAAGCTGAGAGTGAAACCCTAAAAGCGCTGACAGACAGTAATATTCATAGAAAGCTATACTCTCAGGGACTTTGACCTCATTTAAACAATATATTTCATATGATGTGACTAGTTTGAATTTTTGCTGTGATGACAACAAATAAACCAGAGCGGTTCGGGAATGTTGGTGCTCTTACAAAAACTAATTTGAACCCACATGTTTACTTTGTTGGGAAGAATTTAAGGTATGGCAGTGATAAGCTTTGTTATATTCATGCCCTGAAGGAAGTTCAGATAACTGTGGATGCGCACTGTCTCAGTCAGAGTCAAATCACAACCCATTCATTTATCATTACTGTGAATCAATAAAACTTCATCTCACACTAAGCTGTCTGCTGCTTCCTGCCTCTTTCTTGTTAATGCATGGAACATTGTAAGCATTAATCCCAAAGTAGCCATGGAAAATACTTTTGTCTGCAAAAGAATAGATTGAAGTTAACAGTCCTCTGCAGAAGTACCCTAAACACTTCACATGTGTAACTTTACAACCAAAGACCTCAATGTTCTTTTTTGGCATTTTATGTTAAAAATAAACATTATTTATACAGTAAATATTATTACCTTTGAAATGTGGTATTAGTCAGGTTGAGTGTTTCTGAACATCAATTTCAAGTCTTACTGCTGATTTTTATTTGTTATTAGGTCTGAAAATTGATAAGGCCATATGCTTTGAAATAGGTCAATCCTTGTAGCACTTAATGTTTAGTGTTCTCATGCTTGAAAATAAAACTGCCCAGGGCTCAAGTGTTTTGCATCCTCTAACATTTTCTTAAAGGATTTCTATGTATCAGTCTCTATCCATCTTAATGTCAAATCTAAACACTGAAGGAGATTTTCCAAAGCATGAAATTATAATCTCCATGATTCACTGTGTACACACAAGGACACAATGTTTGGTACCCTTGTTTAATGTAAACAAAGCCCACAGTGGTCACAGAAAGTTAGAATAGATAAAATATTCTGTGAAAATGAACAAATCACCCAGACATTGCCTCTCAAACATGCTTTATAACAGACTAATAAAAAAAATAAACTAATGAAACAGGCCAGGACAAAAATTATGTTACCGTTGACCTAATATTTTGTTGCACAACCCTTTAAGGCAATCACTGCGTTTCGCGTAACTTTTATGAGACTTTTGCAACCTTTCACTTGGTATTTTGGCCCACTCCTTATGAGCAAACTGGTCCATTTAACTCAGATTTGAATGGTTCTAGATGGGATGTTTCAGCTCCTTCGGAAAATGGCCAATACTATTTAGGTCAGGTTCCATAGAAGACCACTTTAGAATAGTTCAATGTTTTCCCTTTTATCATTCTTGGGTGTTTTTAGCTGTGTTTTGGGTCATCATTCTGTTGAAGACCCATTAACTCCAACTGAGATCAGGCTTTCTGACACTCAGCAGCACATTTATCTCTAGAATCCCTCGATAGTCTTGAGATTACATTGAAACCTGCAGAGATTCAAGACATCCTGTACCAGATGAAGCAACACAGCCCGTCAACATAACAGAGCTTCCTCCATTTTTTACAGTAAAGAGAGCGCTCTTCTTGATATGCTTAATTTTTTTTTTCTCTGTGAGCATAGAGCTGATGTGTCTTTTCAAAAAGTTCAATTTATGTCTTGTGTCCATAGGACATTCTCCTAGAACCTTGTGGGTTGTCAACATGTTGTTTGGCAAATTCCAGACTGCTTTTTTTTATAATTTGTTTTCAACAATAAACTCCTCCTTGGTCATCTCCAATTTAGTCAACTCAGGCTCATACAACAGCAGGTGGTACGATTAGACACTGATGTTCCTTGAGCTTAGAGTTCACCTTTAGAGTTTTTTTCTGGGCTCTTTTATTTTATATTAACACCCTTTCACATGCTTTTCTATTATTATTATTATTAGTATTATTTTTGTAATATCCATAGACAACTCTTTCCTTTGCTTTCTAAGCTTCATCTTGACTTTGATACACACCATGATGCCAAACAGCACAGTGACTATAGCCCAACATATAGGCCCACTGACTGATTACAAGATTGTAGACACCTGTGGTGGTAATTAGTGGACACACCATGATTTAATTAACATGTTCCTTTCGGTACATCATTTTTGTCGTGGCCTGTTTGATGAGGTTTCTTTCTAAATCCTACCATTAAAGAATGGTTGAACAAAATAACCTCTGACTTTCAGTTGCCTTGTGAATATTTCCAAACTACAAACTAAAACAAACAGCAGATTTGTTAATAACACAGCAAAAAAGTGGACCCATTTCCTGATTTTCTCACCTGAGAATGGTACCTTGACAGCTTCTCCAAGGTTATCATGCGCCCTTTGCTACTTTCTAATTAACTTTCCCCTTGTCTGGTCTTTCAGTTTGGATCAGCAGCTTTGTACAGTAGCTTTAACGTTGTACCAAATGCTCTCCAGTTTCCCATGATAAACTGCATAAGATGTTAAAAGCCATAATTTGTAATTTTCAGTAACATCTAATGGTCAGACTTCAAACTGCAGCAAAATTAACTGCCCCCCCCACACACACACACCGCCTCTCTCCTCCAACAATATGGAGGCTGTCATCAATGTTGTGCCACTTCATAGTTAAAAAGAACTAGCTAAAAGTTCAGTTTACTCAGCTAAAAATGAAATAGTTCACGCTCATAGTTCACGTTTTTCAAAGTTCACAAACCTATAAATGAACAAGTTGAACTAGAGGTAGAACAGGTTCATCTGGTAAATTAGGCCACAATCCTACGCAATAGAATCTCGTATTTCCCTCTTTAAATATGTGATCATAATATACAGAAAGAAATAGAAATTACTTGTTGCAGTCGGGGTGTGTTGTATGTGCATTGAAGCCTTCATTTAGTCAAAATATACAGAACTTCAACAAAAAAAAAATGATGTCATATGTTCCTCATTCAGTAGCAGATATTTCCAAAGATAGCTAGGATGGTTTAACTCGATATGGTACGTTAAATTTAAAATGGATATGGCTAAAGTACTGAGTTGTTAAGTCTCGGTGGCCACAGTTTGCACAAAAATGTGAGTTTTTTCTGTCCGAGTCTCCCTTTGCTAGTTCATAAAACTGACAAGCGCTCTGCAAAACTGGGATCAGAAATACCAGTAGATGAGTATAAATTGCGCAGAATATTACTAGCACTAGACATGCTTGTCTGTTATGCTGTTTGCCGTATTAAGTGGTGTAAAGTAAAACTAGACTTTATCCGGTGAAAAGTGTCGTTATCAGTTGAATGTACAGGTCAGCCTTGTGTGTCACTAATTATTCTCAGAGCTTTTACTCTATTTTACTTTGTAAAAACTTCCTAAACTACATTTTCCCTCCATGAAAATAGTAGGCATACTAAAATAATGTATTTCCTGAGAAAATAAATGCATTTAAATAATTTCTGTTTCATCACTCGCCTGTGCCTGATCTGTGCCAGAGATGGGAACCAATGCTATTTCCAGGAGCTAACTGTTTTGGCTTTGGATTTAAACACAAATCTAATCTTTTTGAGTTTTATTTTTTCCTTTGGTGTAAACTTTATGGTATATAGTCCATGATCTAAAGAAAGAAACAACTAAAATACAGATAAACATGGTGGAATCTTATTTTGCCGGACTACTCTGAGCATGTCCCATGATGACGTTCGACAAGCAGCAATGGAGAAAATGTAAAAAGCATCAAAAAGCATCAAATTGTCTCAGAAAACATTTTTCAGAGATGTTCATTAGCGCAACCCGACCCCGGAGAAGCGGAGGAACATGGATGGATGGGTTCATTAGCATTCTATAGTGATTTAAGGATAGAACTAATTACCTTCAATACCATAATAACATTATTTATGGTTACCTGGATGAATATTTGCTTTCAGATCATTATAATAATAAATAAAAGCCATGTATATTATATATACCATTTATGTCAGTAAATCCCTGTAACTATTAATCACTGTACCTTTAAAGCTTTGGTATTATTTTATAACATAACCCAGCTTTAAGCTTCACCATACTGTTATCTCTGACCTGTTTGAAGTTTTTCTTAAATTTAGGGATTCTTTCTCTTTAATGAGCTTCTTCAAAAAGAATCTATTCCTTTACAGACAACTGGATAGATGGTAATTTATAGCAGGCAGCCACTATTTACTAAAGGCAATCGTTTACACTGGATTGTATTTGAGAAAGGAGACAGAGAGTGCTGCACTTTTAGATATATGAGGTAAAATCAGTTAAAAGCAGATATTTATTTGTCTTCTAATTTTGCACGTATCCACTACATTTTGGTTAGTCTACCAAACAAATCCAATAAAATAAGAGATTTCTGTTTG